TTATATATCTTCCGCTGGAAGACAATAGTAACAGAAATGGAGCTCCGAACCGCACCCAACTAATATTAATACAAACCCCAACCCAAACACAAACTACTCTCCCTCTCTCCTCTCTCTCTCTCTCGTAATTGAGCCGGGAGTTGAATCTCTCCATCGCTCCAAGTCTCCCAGCCTAATCTAATCTTCTCGTCGATGAAATCAAAGCCCTAGTCTCTCTCCTCACTGGAGCCCTTTCTCCGTCATCTCGTGGACTATATCCCGCTTGAATCATTGTTTCGTGGCCTCGATTTCTCTGCCGCTTACCCGATTCGAGCCATGGAGGGTGGCGGAGGGCCTCACAGTTCTCGCACCGCGGAGGAGGTCTTCCGCGACTTCAGAGGCCGGAGAGCCGGCATGATCAAGGCGCTCACAACCGGTTCTTATCGTTTCGTTTTTACGGACGTGCTGCACTTGTTGGTGCTTTTCCTCGAAATTAATGTGTTTAATTGCTGCTTCTGGTGGTGCAGATGTGGAGAAGTTCTACCAGCTGTGCGATCCAGGTGAAACGGTCGCCCCTTTCTTTGGTTTATACTCTTTGGTTAGGGTTACGCCTCTCGGTTTTGTTAGATCCATGGTTTGGTCCTCGATTTCTAGTGGCTTCACTCGATTTATCAGATAATTTGGTGATGAATGATTAATGGAATTTCATGTTGTTTTGTTTGTCGGTCTAGTGGTAATTGGTATATTACGTTAGTTTGTTATGCATTTCCTGTAGTTGGTCAAAGTTACTCGCATTGTATCACTTAGTTGATGTCCAGATCAGTTTATATAGAGTTTACTAAGGCCTAGCGTGCGTAGGAAAATAGTTGCTTGAGTTAAACATAAACAGAAGGCATATTTGAAGGATTTGGCTAGTGGACAGGAAAACTCAACTATGATAGCCAGTTTTGTTTAGTCTTCTGTGTTACCCTTGTCCCATCTTTTTCAGTTTATATAGAGTTATCCAAGACCTCGCTTGCGTAAGAAAATTGTTGATTGAGTTAAATATAAACAGAAGGCATATAATCAGGATTTGGCTAGTGGACAGAAAAAATCACCTATGATAGTCAAATTTGCTTAGTCTTCTGTGTTATCCTCGTCCCTTCTATTTCATTTCTTGTTTTTCTCCCCTATTTAGTCTTCTTTCCTTCTCTACATATATGGCAACAACTATTTCACTATTATTTACAGTCTAAAGAATCATCATGTCATACTTAGAATTAGTTGAATATGATTTGTTTCATTTCATCATACTATTTTCTATTAATAATTAATACAGTCCTGCTGCTTCACTTAAAAGCAGTTCATTGTTTTTATCTATTATTCAGATAAATGGGTGTTGAATGATTGGAATTTGTTTGTTTTCATCTCTGCTTGCTTTGCTTGGTGGAATGTATCTATTAACCTATTGTGCATACCCTGTAATTAATCTTGCTTTTGACTAAAATCAGACTCTCTTGAGGATGTTGATGGTTAGGCCAATTTTAGGCACTTTGAGGGGCTTTGTGGTTTCTCATCATTTTGTTTGCGTATTGCTAGAATGATATTCTAATTGAGAATGTTCCATTTAGAGATGCAGTGCTACCCTTTGGTACCTATGATTGCAATTGAAGTTGCTTTTGTTTGGTCTCATTCAATTGGAACATTAATGGTGGTGTTTGAATTTATCATCACATTTGCGGAATAGTAGTCGATTTTTTAGATATTGAATTTTAAAATTATTTTTATTGGTCAAATTTGATCCAACCAACCTGATTTGATTTATCCTACTGATCCTGCTGGATTGTTAACTTGCTGATCCCAATACTAATGCCAAATTTTGGGAACTATTGTCAATATTTCTATCCAAGTACAACCTCTTATTAATCAGGTAATCTAGTGAATCATTTTTACCACAAACCTCCTTAAAAGAGTAAATTTATAAGCATGATTGAGATGGGTCTAGGAGGGTATAATTAACTCATCCTTGAGTCAACTTAATCAATTACACATTCTGATCACTGACTCCTAGTCATGTTTTACTCATATTGACATGATTTAACCCATATAATCAACCAAACACGGCATGATTAATATGTAAATATGATTACAACACATTTAACATGTTAACCTGATTATTGAATTGGTCAATCAGGTTGCTGTGGTCAAGAACATTACATTGGTTTATGCCATAAACCCATTTAAGCTCAACCAGAATATGCTTTTATTGTCGGGTGTGTGACAAGCATAGTCTGTCTAGGGCTGTTACCAATAAGATCCCACAGATACCAGGATACAAATCTGATTTGAGAAACAACATCTGAGCTGGAAGCAGGGAAAATAGCTTAAGAAATCATTACAAGTTAAAACAAGTAATAAATGACAACATGTACAAAATAACTACTATATGAGTTGGACTGTGTTAAAATACTATATAATATACATTATTGTTATAAGATTTTGGTTGTTTATGTTGATACATTTCTTTTCTCTTCCAATAATTAATAGTAATGCACAATTTTGTATACAAAAGGGAAGGATGCAATTCATAGATAGAGGTAGCATAACTGCTGATATGATAGTTGTGAGTTTCTCATTGACCATGGGCGTCCTATTGAATTGGTTTGAACAAGCGTCAAGTATCCCACAAACCTTGAAAAGGGACAATATTAATTAATTGAGTATTATCATAAATTACAGAAAGCTAACAATGAGAATTAACTGAAAACCACATGAAAGAATTGGAAACTGATCAACAGATACATTTCAATTGAAGTGACTGAATAACAATCAAAGTAAACTAGTTTACTGAAACGTAAAACCAATTATGTCAAATGTGAACTAAACTAATTCCAAGTTGCATCAAATACTTGGTATAACTATATGTTCTCAATAATTTCTGATTCTTCTGCCATTTTTCTTTTCGAATGGATCTTGAATTACTGCATGTTGTAGTATCAATACAAACATTTAAAGTAATCTTCCGTTAGAACAATTTACCCCTTTGATATCTGAGTTGTCTTCTACAAATTACAATCCATTCCGTATGATATACTATTGTCAGCTTTTCCTTTTAGATATGTAGAAGAGCTTTGCGTCAGGATATTCCTCGGTGTTTTCTGGAACTTATGTTGATAACCACATACTTTAGCATGTATTGTTTAGTTAACAAAGTGTTAAATGTGACTGCTTATGATTTGATTATATTTGCAGAAAAGGAGAACTTATGTCTTTATGGGCTTCCTAACGAGACTTGGGAAGTAACCTTGCCTGCTGAGGAAGTACCTCCAGAACTTCCTGAGCCAGCCTTGGGAATTAACTTTGCCAGAGATGGCATGGAAGAAAAGGACTGGCTTGCCCTAGTTGCAGTCCACAGTGATGCATGGTTGCTTGCTGTTGCCTTCTATTTTGGGGCACGCTTTGGATTTGATAAGGAATCCAGGTAAGGTTTATCTGGTTTGAGCTATGGAAAGTCACCTTAGCAATGATGCCTTTGTCGTCAACTTAACAATGTTGCCTTTATCACTTTCTGTTACTTTGTTCTTATTAGCAAGTTCCAAATGTTGTTGATCTATTCAGTATGAATTTAGTAATTAATCTATTCGTTCCAAAGTCAGATGCACATCAAGTTAAGTAGCTTTTCTTAATTATGTTATACTTTAACCATTTAAGCAAGAGCATCTGCTTGTTTGCTTTGACATCTGTAAGATTGAGAATTTTTATATAGTTGTACTACGTGGTTGATCTTTGTAGTTTGCTAAACCCATATATGAAAAAATTGCCTAAATTCGTGTGGTTTCGGTTGTCTTAGCCTTATCAAAAGGGTTGAGGGTTAAATTAACCCTTCGGAGTTAAGGGTTAAATGAACCTTGTCAAAATGAGTTCCATTTCGACAATACAGAATATAATAGCCCAAGAAAATGGTTGGTTAAACGATGCTTCTGTTTTTTTTTTTCCTGATATAAAATAACCCACTCCTCTTGAACCCAAACCAAATGCAGCCTAGCTTCAAGTTACGTAGAGATTCAAAAGAAACAACTTTCCAGCCTACACCATCTTTTACACCATGTTGTTCATGGAGATGGTATGCTAACAAGTCTAAATTTGTAGGAGGTAATGTTATGTAGTTGGTTCACTTTCAAAATTCGTGTATTGTGATCTCAGTGCAGTGTTGATATGGACTGTAAAAGTGCATATAATTTGTCCTTCATTGCTTTCTTTTTAACTTGTCATCTCAACTTCAATGAATTAATTACTTTTCACAAAAATGGAAACACTATTAAGAAAAAAGGGTCAGTTCTGCTTTTGTTTATATATGGTGCATCTGAGACACCTGTGACTTGCTGCAAAGTTGCCCCGAGTTCTTTAAATGGCTGTTGCCGGTGAATGTGACTAGAGCAACTCTTCTGTTTTCTTTCCATTATTTTTTGTGCAGTGAAGCCAGGCTTTACAACTAATTATCCTGATAGAACCTTGCCTGTCAACTAGAGCAAATAATTCTGGACCATTATGCCCTATTGTATATTTTGTGAAATACACATAGATGGACAACAATCTGCTATGTAAGGCCCTGGATTTATTTGCTTTATAACATTGAAATTAATTGTTGCTATTAGGCTTTATGAATTTAGAGTATATGCATATAGCTATCAGAACTTATGATTGCTTGGGTTTACATGGTTGCAGACTCTGGTTGTTTTGATATCTGGCTTTTCAGTTGCTATGAGAGTGTTTTTTATTCATACATGGCATATATTTTATCATATGTTTCTGATAAGAACTTGAACTCTACTGTGGCTCTCTCCTTGTTGGAGTTACTGAATTATGGTGTTATACTATAGGATAGAATTTGTTTATCTGTATTTTTTAGCATTTTTAGAAGATTCCTTGTTAGGAAATTGGAAATTCATGATATCATTTTCCCCTGTGGTGTTGTAACTATCACAGGAGGAGGCTTTTCAATATGATTAACAATCTCCCCACCATATTTGAAGTTGTAACTGGAACTGCCAAGAAGCTGTCTAAGGAGAAGACCTCTAATAGCAGCAGCAAGAACAAGCCCAACTCAAAGACGGTAAATTCTTCTTACATCACGTTTTTATTCCTTCTTATTTTGTCTGTTTATTTGCAATATTTGCTGCCTGTATGTCTTCAGCAGTCAAGACCGGCTGAGTCCCAAACCCGGGCTTCAAAGATGCATTCTCCAAAAGAAGATGAAGATAGTGGTGCAGACGAGGAGGAGGAAGAAGAAGAGGATCACGAGAACACTCTATGTGGTGCATGTGGAGACAATTATGCCAATGATGAGTTTTGGATATGCTGTGACATGTGTGAAAGATGGTTCCACGGGAAGTGTGTCAGGATCACCCCTGCCCGAGCTGAGCACATCAAACAGTACAAGTGCCCAAGTTGCAGCAATAAGAGGGCAAGAGTATGAAACAAGCTTTTGTTTTGGGTAATTTGCTAATTCTTCAATGACGTTGGAAAACAATTCCAAACAGCAGACATGCAAAGCCTGAGTTGTTTAGGTTCTAGACTTTTGTTTCTCGTGTCCTTGTTCACTATTTTGTTAGTCGTCTCTTTGAACGAGAGCTCGAGTGTGTGTGTGAGTGTGTTAGAGAATCTTTAATTTGCTTAATATAACTTGGTAGTTAATGTTAGGGCCTCAGATTTAGCGGTGTTGTATTTTTAAAATGAAAACTAAATTAGGATTAGTGTGGTGGACCAGATGAGAACCTTTGTTCTAATGTTTTTTCCTCCCTCTGTTTTCCTGACACCCCAACTTCTTCATGTTATATGGTTTCGAAAGCTGGAAATAAGCTCCTTTTTCTAATTGATGCGTTTCCTGCCCACTGCTCTAGGATAAATGAATGGTTTTTCTTCAAGAACTACTTTATGGATGAGCTAAGTATGATTTTTTTTTTTCTCTTCTTTGTAAGTAGTTGGCCCTTTTACCCCCACTGTTTTTGTGCAATCTATTGAAAATATGTGTAGTATTCTCATTAGGAATATGTTCAGAATATCAAACGGCGCGCTGTTTCCATGAATCAATCTTCCTCTCTTCAGGTTTTATATTATTTGCAGAGCAGCCACAAACATCATGCAAGTCTGTCTTGATAAATAGATCTCCTCCCCCCTCAGGACTTAAAAAGACCTTTTCGGGATGATAAGATGTGAAAGAATGTTTATAAGCGTCCTCTTCTTCCTTTATGATTCACATCCGATAAAAGGCACATGCATGGTGGTCTCACCTAATTCACTCATCTTCCTTTGCCAACACTAGACTACCAAGAAGAGCCCATGTTTTATTGAAGGTGCAACTTACCATCCAATTCTATCCGGCTACACCCACTCACTTTGTCAACACCTCTTTCTCTAATCTCTCTCCTAACCTTCTCCACAAACTCCCATTTCCTTGCAGATGCATAGATATTAGATAGCAAAACATAGTTGCCTGCATCCTCTCGTTCCAGCTTGAACAGCTCTTCTGCTGCAAACTCCCCTAGCTCAACCCTTTTATGGATTCGACTTGCGTGAAGCAGAGCCCCATAGACGCCAGCATGTGGCCTCACGGGCATATCATCGATCACCTTCTTCACTTCGTCTAATCGCCCAGCTCGACCCAGTAAATCCACCTTGCAAGCATAATGATCGACCGTAGGGGATTCGATCATCTCAAACACCCTGCATCCTTCCTCTGTCAGACCTGCATGGCTACAAGCAGTCAAGACACCGAGGTACGTGATGGCATTGGGTTTTATACCTTCTTCCATCTGCCCCATCAGTGCAAGTGCTTCGTACCCATCGCCGTTAGCTGCTAAGCCTGAAATCAATGAGTTGTAAGATGACACATCCCTCTTTGGCATTTCCTCGAAAACTCTCTTAGCTTCTTCCAGGCTTCCGCAACTTGAGTACATGAAGATGAGTGCATTGTATACAGAAACAGTCAGTTTGATTTGGTTCTCCTGCATGTAGAGTACCAACCATCTTCCATGTTCGAGAGATCCCAAATGCCCGCAAGCAGAGATAAGACTCGACATCGTAACTTCGTCTGGCACCAATCCCTTCACCATCGTCATGTCCCTAAAGAGTTCCATAGCAAGATCAAATCGACCATTCTGCGAGTAACCCGAGATCATCGTGTTCCATGAGATCACATCCTTAGCTGGCATGCTGTCAAACAGCTCCCTCGCTGCATTTAGATCACCTTCCTTTGCATACGCGGCTATCATAGCATTCCAAGACGCCGAATTCCGATCTTCCATCTCGTCGAAGATCATCCTTGCCTTCACCAAATTTCCACAACTAGCATACATGTCGATCAAGGCCGTCTTGAGGAAGCAATTCATGGGCACCTTCCTCTCCATAATTGTACTTGCTATGGATTCGGCAAACCTTATATCACCCTTTGCGGAGCACACCGCGATGATGGAGACCCATGTGGTCTCATTGGGACGAACTCCAGCACTGACCATTTGGTCGAACAGTCTCAATCCTTCATCCAACCGATCGTTCTGCACATAACCCGATAGCATTGCATTCCACGAGACAACGCTCCTCTCCGGCATCCAGTCAAAGAACCTCCGAGCAGCCTCCAGCTCCCTCAGCCTTGACAGCCCGGTAACCATCGCAGTCCACGAGACCACGTTACGTTCTGGCATCAAATCGAACGTTCTAAGCGCTTCCTCCTTGCGGCCCCACTTCCAGTACCCCGATAGCATGACGTTCCAGTCCGCAACCGCTTTCTCCGGCATTTCATCGAACAGTCTTCTCGCGGTCTCGACGGGCCCGTGATGAGCGTAGGAACTCATCACCGCGTTTCGGACGAACAGATCCCGGTGATGACCCAGCTTCAAGACGAGGCTGTGGGCACAAGCAGCTGCAGGGCCGAGCGATTTGATCAAAACGGGGAACACGGAGGGTGCGTGCGGCGTGACGGCGAGGCGGGACATCCGGCGGAAGAGGAAGACGACGTCTTCATGGGCGCCAGAGCGGGAGCAGATACGGAGGATGGAGGCGAAGGAGCGGGCGTCCGGGTGCGGAATTGAATCGAACAGGAGGCGAGCATAGGGCAGAGGGGCGCCGATGCCCGCGCAGTGAGCGACGAGGAGGGTAGCGGCAACGTGGTGCGAGCCATCAAGGGGTGTTCGGCGGATGACACGGGCATGAAATTGCTTGAGGTGGTCGAGGCTTTTGATCCGACCGGGCGGTACGGCCGGATCGCGAGACATGCAACGGCTAAGAGCACGAAGACAACCGGGAAGTTTATGTTGGCAAAGAGAAGTAGTAAGGTTATATATATATATATATATATATATATATATATATATATATATATATATATAAAATTAACTAAAATAAGTCACCATGGTCTTTTTTCCTTGTGCTCAACAATGTCATATCATATGCTATGATCTAAAAATGCAACCTAAAAATGAAAATGGATCCAAAATTAGGTACAAGAAACAAACTGAATCATTCAATTACATCAACTGCCAAGAATCCATCAGTACAAGGTTACATACTAACAATAACACATCAATTTCTACGGCAAAATCACACTATAAGTCATCGATGGTAAGTTTACCATTCAAGGGTAAAGGGAGAAAAAAGAATAAATAATCAAACAGATTCAGAGTACATCGATAAACAACTAACGAGGAACCTTCACACGATATGTTTGTATCAAAAGGATATAACCAAGCTGAGCCTTAGGGTGGGTGTCTGGCCTTTTTCGATGATCGCAACAAGAATGATTAGTAGGCCATGAATATTGGCAATGAGACCATGAGTTGAGGTTGGATTAAGCACCAGAATCTTGAGTCATCGACCTGTTTTTGCCCGTTTCATACCCGTGCTGTTGAATGGTGATAGGCTTGGGCTCAACTGAGGGCTCTCTTCCCGCAAAGTGCCGTTCAGAATGGCTAATTCCCTTAGCTGTTGCTTCTTGTAGTAGTCCACGGATTCGTCCTGAGGCATTATATGTTAAACATAACTAACCGACATTACAAACAATTGATTGCAAGTGAATTTTGCGTGCACAACACAAAGGTTTTGATTTGTACCACTGGCTTTAAAAGATCTTCCAATATTGCCACAGCTTGATTTAAACGAGCATCGATGATGTCTGCTGTAAACTCTGCCTCGACCAGGACATGTAATGGCTCATTCAGGTGCTCGTATCCGGGTTTATCTCTTAGTTTGTCTTCCTACAGAAAATTCAAGATTTTGGAATCAACAGATAAGGATATATTGCCCAGCTTAGAATAAATATCCATTACAACTTCTGGAAGTGATGCTTCGAATAAAAGTTATTTTGATGTACAAGATTAATGCCAATCGAAAAGAATCTGGCACAAGAGTCCTGATATAATGTAAGAGCATCCAAAAACAAACCATTTTTTCAGAAATTTCATGCATTGCATGCATCATGCACCAGTATACATGGCAACCATAAAGAACAACTAAAATTCTACTCCAGGTAAATCTGAAGAAAGGAAGACAAGACCATATGTCATCGTCTGTAGAAGACTTGGTTTCCTCAGACGGTCATAAAAAGTCACTGGTTACATCAGAAAATATCAGTAGAATAGAAGGAAAAGACAATCTTAGACCTCCATTAGTATGGAAAGTGGCATCAGGAGCTCATGACTACAGAACTCTGGAAACGAAACAAATGATTCATAAGTTGCAACAGATTAGAGTGACAGACAGGTAACCATGATGCTAAAGTAACCATGAGAAAATATCCATGTATTTCTATTCCTCAAAGTCTCACCATTTTATATATTGCACAAAGAAAAGATATCTCCTAACTGTAGCTTACCCTTAAATGGTCACTGAGAACTTCCAACATGACCATAGGTTGGCAAGGACAGCCAGAGATAACTATTAAATAACAAGGTTTTCCTTTGTATGTACAAAATTTATGCGAATATGCATCTGTTTGGTGCAATAAGTGTTCATGGTTATGCCATTAATCTTTGTGTTCCAAGATGGTCTATAGATATCCAAGAAGAAAGACATAGTCAGTTACGGAACTAAATAGTATTTATACTAGATGATGGTAGGTTATGTGATGACAGGACATAAAAATTGGCTACACCAATAAAGCAGTATCTTCACACATAAAGCATTCAAACCTAGAGTTGTTAGTTCAGAATCTTCAGATCCTAACCAAATCCCAAGCAACTAAAAAATTGCTAGATTTGGTTAAACACAGTCTCCTGAAGCCTCCATGTAACTGAGGAATGAAGCTCTTGCAGAGCTTTAAAGATAACAACAATATAGCTAAATGTGATGCATGATATAAAACAGGGTATACAGTTTCGAATGATACCGCCCAGTATGGGCGGTACGTACCGGTCCGACAGCTTACAGGTACGCGGACCGCCTGTTACCGGGCGGAACACTTAAAAGCGCCCCGTATTGGGCGATACGGGGTTATATCGGGTGGTAACGGTCGAAATTGCGACCGTTACCACCCGGCACAACCCTGTAACGATCGAAATCGACCGTTACAGCTTGGTAACAGTGCTCCAACGGTCAAATTGACTGTTGAAGCCCTTTCTCATATGTTTTTAAGCCCTTCTTCTCCTCTATTTCACTCTATTTTACGGAGAATCATACGGGCAACAACAGTATGGTGATAGTTGGTCATCATTCTCTGAGCAATAGTATGATACGGAGCAGCAGATCAGTAGCGAAAGTAGAAGCTCTGACATTCACCAATATATGCCTCAGGAGC